TTCAATATGAAAGTTTCTATAGACAGAAAAAAAGTTTTATAAATTGAACTTTTTGTAAAAGTCAGTTACTGTAACAGTGTTTCTGATCTTTATCTGATGTACATCTTTATGATATAAAAATATCACCTGGAGATAAATGGGGTTTGGTATTTTTAGTTTATTATATATACAGGTGGATGTAGAGGGGGGAAAGGGCAAAAGAAAAAAATGAAGGCATTAGCATACATGTCAAATAGAAGTACAATGTAGTAAATGCAGCAAAAAAGCCCAATGGCATTAAACTTGCACAGGAAACAAAAGATTTGATCAGAAAAAGAAAATTTAAAGAGGACAAAGAAAAATTTTATATTGTGCAATACACTTGTAACTTGAATTGTGAACTAAATTTTCATGTTTTGTTCAAAATTGAATAAAACATATTTGAAAAGTGGGTTATTTTCTGCAGAAACCTAGAAACTACATAACACACATATAATATGGAAAAAGTAGGTATTTCATTTTATATTGGAATATGCTTAATGATAAAGCAATGTTTTATAAAAGGAGGAGCATGGATTGAATAGTTGCGAAGTAAAGATAATTGATATTTGTTGTTATCTTTGAAACATTCACTTCAAGAAAGAGTTAAAACATAGTGATATTAACAAAGAATTTACTTCATATTAATATTATTGGTTGACTAGATTTTACATAACTCTGGTTTTCAAAAGCAAGATTCTAGATAAATATTTTTATAAACTTAATTATGAGGAAAAAAGAAATGTTTTACTGTAAATGATAAAAACCTGATTATTTAAAAAGATAAACATGAGAAGAATTTTCTAATAAATGAAATTGTACCATATTAATTCGTATAAACAATATGACATGGTGGTTATTTGTACTCTTTCTGTATTTTCAGCCAGAGGACGGCGGCCGAGACGTCAGGTGCTGATAGAGTCCTCCATCTAGTCACTCAGGGATTTTATCATTTGTCATTCATTAATAAATTGTGTTTGTGAGAGTTTTTAAATATCCGTTGAATTCAATGTCAAATGCATGTTTTAATTGTTTTCTTTGTTCTTATTTGTCATACATCAAAAATTACATGTTTTACCAGTATGTAGGTGAATTTTTAAATGTCAGTTGAATTCAATCGTAAATTCATGTTTTAATTGTTTTCTAATTGCTTTATATTGTATATTATATTTTATATGTTATCAAATATCATGTATACTTAAACGTTAAAAAAAATTAGTAAAATTATATATGTACAGAATTGATAAATTTTTAATATATAAAATGTACAAGCATGTAATAAGATTGTACGGTTGGGATATTTGAGTTTGTGTTTTCTTTGTTGTATACATAAGAAAAAGTAGAGAGCAGCCAGGCTTGATCTAACTTAATTGAAGAGAACAGTTAGATAAAATTTGAAATGGTATGTTTCTGGAAAAGTGACTCCAATGTCCTGGATATTGAAAGTCTCAGAAAAAAGTTTACCTTGAAATTAGAAGGACAAGCAAATTTTAAGAAATATGGTCCCCCGCATTCTGTGTCTTAGTGGATGGGATGCCATTATTTATGGCATATTGTGTCAAATATGTATGCCTTATCATATATCATGCAAAATTTATAACCAAGTTTAAATTTTGTTTTAATTACCGGTAGGTAAACATTAAGTCAAGGGTTAAAAAATACAGCATTGAAATTCTCAGAAACATCTTGTTACAGGCAATGCACATGTCAAATATGAAAGCACTGTCTCTTCTCTATGGAAAGATATAAGGAAAGATAACATTCATGAAAAGTAGATCAAACTTAAAGGTCACAGGGTCAAAAATCATAATGTATGTAGAAAGGCCTTATCACATGTCATACACCTGTGAAATATCTTGTGAAAAGTCCTATCTATTCTTATTCAAAAGTTATGACCAATGTTAAAGTTTTTTGAAAATTAGGTCAAACTTCAAGGTCACAGAGTCAAAAATTAAAGTTTATTGGTATTAAGAAAGGTCTTGTCACAAGAAATACACATGTACATGTATAATATGAAAGCCCTATCTCATCTCATTCAAAAGTTATGACCAAGGTTAAAGTTTTTGAAAAGTAGGTCACAGGGTAAAAAATCATGACATAATTAGAAAGACCTTGTCACAGGTAATACACATGTATAATATGAAAGCTCTCTTTGATTGAAGAGTAGGTCAAACATCAAGGTCACTGGGTCAAATCCATACTATTTGAACAGGTCATGTCACAGGTAATGCATATGTACAATATGAAAGTCCTATCTCATCTCAATCAAAAGTTATGACCAAGGTTAAAATTTTTGATACAGGCTGACAGAAGGCAATCAAATGAGACTTCATGTCCCCTTGCTTTTGCAAAAGCTTGGGGCAAAAAGAGGAACATGAGGTTAATAATCATACAGTCAAACTTCATCATTTCAAACTCAATGATACTGAAAAAAAAGGTTTAAGATATCTGAGATATCATGGGTTAAATGCTCAAAAAATAATTAGTTTTTATTAGGTCACCTGAGTAACTCAGGTGACCTATTGCTATCCGTTTTCGTCCGTCATCGTGCATCGTGTGTTGTGTGTCGAACATTTTCAGCTTCTTCTCTGAAACCGCTGCACCAATTTCGACCAAATTTGGCATAAAGCATCTATGCATGAAGGGGAATAAAAATTGTGAATTTCGTGATCCCTGCCCCCCTGGGGCCTGAGGAGTGGGGCCAAGACCACTAAAATTAATGCAATCTTTGAAAATCTTCTTCTTTACTCCTGGACATCAAGCAGGCAAACTCTTTGCATGATTGTAATCAGCAAGGGTACCTCTACCAAAATTGTGAAATTTATGGCCCTGGGGTCAGGGGTTCTGGTGTTAGGGCGGGGCTAAATAAGTATATAGTGAAAATGCATTATTTCTTTGAAAATCTTCTTTGCTCCTGGGTATGAAATAAACCAACTAAGTACATATTTATGATGAGCAAGAGTGCCTCTACCAAAATTGTGAATTTTATGGCCCCAGGGTCAGGGGTTCTGATGTTAGGGAGGGGCTCTATTGATTATATAGTGAAAATGCATGAATTCTTTGAAGATCTTCTTCTCTGCTCCTAGGTATTAAATAAACTAACTAAGTGCATAGTTATGATAAGCAAGGGTGCCTCTACTAAAATTGTGAATTTTATGGCCCCAGGGTCAGGGGTTATGGTGTTAGGGTGGGGCTCTATTTTGAATATATAGTGAAAATACATGAATTCTTTGAAAATCTTCTTCTCTGCTCCTAGGTATTAAATAAACTAACTAGGTGCATAGTGATGATGACCAAGAGAGCCTCTACCAAAATTGTGAATTTTATGGCCCCAGGGTCAGGGGTTCTGGTGTTAGGGCGGGGCTCTGTTGATTATTTTCTAGTGAAAAAACATGAATTCTTTGAAAAAAATTTTCTCTGCTCCTAGGTATTAAATAAACTAAGTACATAGTTATGATGAGCAAGAATGCCTGTTCCAAAGAACTATATGCGGTATTAACCAACATTTGCCCCCCAAAATCAAACTTTGATGGAGTAATATTTAATTAAGTCCTTAAACAGGGGAGTATATGCTGACTTCAAAGCACAGAATAATTTCATAAGTAATGACGTCATATGTACGTAATGACGTCACAAATATGACGTAATTTCAGTTTTTTATGAATTTTGCAGAAAAATGTACATATTTCGTTGATATTTTAAATAAAAGTCACCGAGCGCATGTGTGTTCAGGATAAATATTTTGATATAATGTGTAGAATGATAATATCAATGAAATATGTCAATATTGTTCCTGAACACACATGCGCTCTATAAATTTTAAAGCTTAAATTGTTGAAATTTTGTCCATTTTGTCCTCTTTCTGGAAAAGGATATAAAATCGGACTAGTTTGTGACGTCATAAAACAGAAATTGTGAATACACTGCTCTGGAACTATAATATTTTCTGTTAACTTATATTTCTCGTACAATTTATTGAATTCAGCACATTTCAGGAAGTTTTCAAAATTTGACTTTTGTGGGGGCAAACATATGCAATATACCGCATATAGTTCTTTGTGAATTTTATGGCCCCAGGGTCAGGGGTTCTGGTGTTAGGGTGGGGCTCTATTGATTGTATAGTGAAAATACATTAAATCTTTGAAAATTTTCTTTTCTGCTCCTGGGTATTAAGCAGATGAACTACCTATATAGTTATGATGAGCAAGGTTCCTAATCTTCCATAATTGTGAATTTCAAGGCCCCAGGGTCAGGGGTACCATAGAGGGAGGGGTGCTGTACTTATATACTGAAAATGAATGAATTGCTTGAAATCTGCTCCTTGGTATTAATCAAATATTTTTGAAAAGCAGGGATGCCTTTTCAAGAATTGTGCAATGTGTGGATCTAGGCCTAAGGGTCAGGGTTCATGTGTTGAAATGCATTTTTTGTTCCTCTACCCTGCCTATGGGTATTAAGTAACCAAACTAAGCAACTGCTAAGTGTATAGTTATGATGATCAATGGTGCCTCTTTCAAAATTGTGAATGCCATAGCATCTGACTTAAAACATGAATCAAGTTCAATCACTGGAAAGTTGTTGCATAATGCTCAGGTGACCTATAAGGCCCTTGGGCCTCTTGTTTCCAAATTACTTTGACATATATCTCCAGGATGTTTGAGATATGAGTGTTTGAGATGCTGAAATTAAGCTTTACTGGTAAGGAAAAAAATACTCATAATCCATATTTTAAAGGGAAAATATATTTTTTTTTATTTTTCAAGAATTTTTCTTAATTTTTTATGGCACATAATTATATGTGACTTTTTGGTTGTTTTACTGAAAATTTTATAGTATATTATATATTATAGCATTTATGAAGTAAATTTTGTGTAAATAACTTGTGCAGGGACCCTAATAAAATAAGTCCATTTTATTTCACAGTTATGACGCGTATGAGCTTCCATAACCTGTGCTCCAGGTAAACGTTCATTGCGCATGCCCCAGGTGTGACTCAAACTTCGGAGTTTTTATTTTTTACCGGAAGTGAAGGTAAAGTAAATTTGAAGATGCGATAAATAAGAATATTTTACCATGAAGGAGAAAGAAATAGATAAGGATACTGTTATTGCGTATCATGACTTTGTCCAGCATCAAATAAGGGGGGAATTAAATGGCATCTTCCTGGGACCAGGGCGATTTTACGCCCAGATCGCGGTGGCTAGTTTCCTAGCTGGAGTCATTTCCGCTATTGTTGGAATTCTAGTGATAACGCTACGAACTCGTCATGTTTACCTCATTTCTTGGGACGATCAGTTCCTTGGACCATTTTTCGTAATCCTTGCATTTATGCTAGCAGGATTTGCCGCAGCCCTGGTTGTGCAGGCCAAAAGACGAGCCAATGCCTACAGACGCGATCTAGTGGTAAGTCATAACTATAATAGGCCTATATTTTATAGAAAAGGAGATGAATGTTTAGTAGTTTTGGGACTGATTACTACTGATCCTACAGATCAATTCAAAGGTTATGGAAGTCCATTAATTCTGTAATTTGTATTTTTCAGTTCCGTCCCATTGGTGATTATGGTGTTGCAGTGTGCCACAAGAGCAGACTCGTTTTCGAACAAACCACAAGGTAAGCTGGAGTTCAGATGTATTTCCTGGTTTACATATGCACGGGACCCAATATATCCATGTTTGCTTATACTGTCCATTTAATCCATTACCATTTCAGTTAAAATAAACAAAGTACGTAAAACCTATCTTGAAATATAAGCCATATTTTGGCTCGGGTCGAATGTGTGATAGAGAACTCAGCAAGCCTCACCCTCTATCATGTTTTCTAACCCTTGCCCAAATATCACTTAAATATTGCAAGACAGTTATCATGTATTTTATATAATTATATTGAAAAATAGAAAATATTTTAAGTTAATTCCCATGATCATTAAAGGCAATTGAGGAAAACATTTTTTGAATATTTTGTAAACTTTAAGCTTTTCTTTTTTTAGGGAACAGCTGAAATCTGGTACAGCTCCAAAGAAACCAACAAAAGCAAAACCCTACCAGGTATTTAATACAGTACTCACTGCTATTTGGCAATGGGCAGGGGGTTATCATTATATGGCAAGCCAGGTGGTGTATACCCTCACAACCCACAGTGATATACATTTACCTTGAACAAATTGATTTGGAAGAAAAAGTGTGCCAAGCAATATTTCCCCCTATTTTCTAACATATGTATGTGATATATTGATTTGTGGGTTTGTCATAACATAATTGTAAATTGTATATACCTTAGTGACCATCTGACCTGTATCCCTGATATCATAACCGTACAAGGCATTCATTTAATACAAAATGAAAACAAGACAAGTTTTTGGGGTTGTTGGTTTTTTTTTTTTGGGGGGGGGGGGATAAATTCAATACTGATGTACTGCTATTTGTTTTTTTAGCCTATATCATACACCTCAGATGGAAGACCAAGAAGAGGTCCACGTCCAGGTGGGTTCGATAACCGTGGCTATGGAGAACCTCCTCCCTATGATGGCAGGCGGGGTCCTCCTGATGGTAGGAGACCTCCTCCTGATCGTAGAGGACCCTCGGGTCGCCCTAGGAACGGTCCACCAGACGACAGAAGAAGATACGGGCCACCACCACCAGGTGAAGACGGCCGTCCACCTCCTTATGGATTCAGGGAACCAGGTTCCAGGAGACCTCCCCCTGATGATCGGTACAGAGATGGCCCCCCAAGGGAAAGAAGAGGACCCCCACCTAATGATAGATACAGGGGCGGTCCACCTCCAGGTGATAGATACAGGGATGGACCACCCCCTGGCGATAGATACAGGGATGCTCCACCCCCTAGTGACAGATATAGAGATGGTCCACCCCCTGATGACAGGTAGAATCTTTTTTTAAGATTGAAAACAATTGAACTCTTCTATATAGTGAAATGCTGATTGTTTAAAAAGAGTGTCAAATCTGAACAGATGATTTGGACTCTCAACATACTTGAACATACCTGTGGTATCTGAGATACAAATTTTCATCTGCATCTTTTTTTTAAATTTTACTGTTAAGTTCATTTTATGTCAAAATTTGTGTAAATGGTATGGTGATATTTTTTAATGCAATGCAAAGATCACTTCATTTGAACAATGCTTTGTTTCACCATTCTAATTGTAAAGCCACCCTGGTGCTGTGTTTATAAAGTATGTATCTGAACTATTATTGTGTGTTTGCATAACAGGTATGCTGAGATGGACAGAAACAGGAGGCGTCCTCCAGATGATAGGTATGTTCAATTTAAATAGGAAAATTACACAAGTGGCAGTTTATTTTCTGGTAGAAATGTACACATTGTAAATAATAAAGACTGACTTTACATTTCAAATATTTATTGAACTATTGTATTAGAATTAAGTTATGTTTGATTTGTTTTCAAATTATATTTTGTGATCGAATACATCTACATGTGTACATTAATCTTGTCGAGATTCATAAAGACTTAAAATTTTGGTCTGGTGTCTGTATGACAGACATGCAGGGACACTAGACCAAAATGTCTAGTCCCTATGAATCTTGCTGAGATTACATCTAAATAGAATTAATTAATTCTTAGCTGACTTCATATGTATATACGATTTCTTGATTTTTTTTTCATCCAGGAACATGCCTAAAACAAAGCTTGAAGACATGCACGAAGGAGATGAATCTTCATTCTAAGCATTCCTAGTTTCAATGTTCTCCATTCATCATGTAACCTGTGCCATTATTCCATTGATATAGCCTGGATCAACTTCAGTATCATATGTACTTGACAGTTTCTACACAGATCACTATAATCTTGAAAAAAATTATTCATGACAAAAGTGGCTATAAGTTTTACTATGTTGGAGCTCAAAAGCAACTATTTTGCACCCCCTAGGTGGGTCCTTGATTGGAAGGAATGCATATGCTTATATTTATCTGTAGAGTATTTGAAAGTGATCAATATATAAATGTACTAGTTAGGATCTGAACTCTGCATGTAATTTTTGAGTACAGGTGAAAGGCAACATTTTTTGTAACATTTTGAAAATAACATTCCAGACACACAAATCATTATGTACATTCCCATTCCAATTTAGTAGGATATCATATTTTAATATTTTGTAATATGAACTTTATATTTTATGTAATTTTATGCAATGTATATATGAATGAATAACATTTACTCTTGAAATAAATTTTATAAATACCAGACTATTCCTTTGTAATGAAGAGTCTTATGTAGTGTTGGCAAATCGGACGATTTTTAGTAACCAGTTACTCGCTTCATCTTCCGATCGAGTACCCGGTTACTCGGATGATTTTTGGTAAAAGTATCAATATCTTTTATTTATCTTATTCTATACTTATCGGAAGTAGTAATGCGCAAAGAAACTGAATAGGGACATTATGTTTAAAATACAAACATACGATATCGCCATATATTTACGATTTTAAAATAAAGAAAATTAATAGGGAATTCGACACTTGAAGAAGGCAAATAAATACGTCACAGTCAATCATCATTTTACACTTTCTTTTTCAGACCCCGAAATATGTCGCAATCAAGTAGAATATTTATTTACATACTCCATAATTAATAGTTACATACATGTATGTAATATGTGGAGTGTCCAGTAAATCGCTGGTTTCCGAATATTTTAAGCTTAGGTGATTTAACAGATTTTGAATCAGCTGTTCTTTTGTTACAACTCCAAGCTTATTATGTCTGCGGCAGCATCTCGTTAAATTATCAAATGAGGTAATTATAACTCAGGCCTTCAAAATATGTATACCCCAAGCAATCAAAGCTATCAATTATATAAACTGTGAAAACTAATCAAAACAATTTGATCCACTACAACCATGCACTAGATCAAGTCTAACGGTACCTAAAATTAGGGAAATGTGTAAGTTAGTATACATTTAAATTATAAAACGTTCATTTTCTATGCCTTTACTATGTAGAATTTATTTTATCCGAGTAACCGAATAGCAGTTTTACTAACCGATACTCGCATCGTTCGACGCTTAACCGGTTAACCGGGTACTCGTTGCCAACACTAGTCTTATGTTGATACAGTAAAACATGTGCATAATGAAATCATAATTTATAGTAAAAAAGAGTAATTTCCCTTTTCCAAATATTGTGGACGAACAAAAGAAAATGTACAAACTATAATGTTTATACATGTAGCAAAGCAAACTAGGGCATCCCTGGCAATTTGCTATAAGCATGTTCTCCACACTGGCATACAGACTTAAGAGCGTAAATTCTCTCAAGTGCTTTATGAGTCTTGACTTTGAATTTAATAATATTTTGAAAGAGAACGTCTGAATAAGTCAAACTAAAAGATATGAGAAAATTTTTAATGCAGAATTAATGTTCAAGTGTATGATCTTAAACTTTATCGAACAAAACTTATTGTAGGATTGTAGAAGTTTTAGGTTCGAAGCATCCACAGAGGTCTGGATGGTACACAGTCCCAGAGGAGCAGGTTTTGTAATTCAGAATGTTGTTGACAAAGAAGGCAAACTTGTCCACAGAGGAGGTAGCATACAGCTTGCAACCTGTAACAGAATAAAGCAAAATATACTTGAACTCTATCACAGAGTAAAACTCCTTCCCTTCAAGAATTTTCATGGTGGCTGTTATTTTCACTTGTTCCTATTTCTGAATACTTCGATTATTTAAGAAAAAGAAAAAAAATCTTTTGGCTTGTCAAATATAAGTTGAACCCAGAACTCACCAAAAATGAAATCAGAGCATGAACATGTCTGAGCATTGTATGCTGTGCCTCTAGCACAGTTCATAACAATCCACAGTCCACTCGGATGGAGGGACTCATAGAAGTTGAGGCCAGTTATGCCCCTTATATAGGTACAAGGATCTGCAATTTAAATTGATATATTACAATATTTTGTCTAAAATAAGAAAAAAAATGTCAATAAACATTTCAGGATTCGATAGATTATAAGTACTGCACACATCAGGTTTAAAGAGCTTAATTTGTCCTCTCAATTTGCTAGGAAAAATAAACAAGACGTACAGTGTATTTGTGAAACACTGATGCCCCTGTATGGCAGCTTATGGCAAAATTTAATTTTCATAAATGCAAAACAAACTCTAAGGTCATGAGATCAAAAAGCTGTTAACCAAAGAAAAGAGGTCAGAAGTATCAATAAATATACCACTGAAATATGAAAGGCAATGCACCAACCGTGAAAAAGTTAGCCCAGGTTAAAGGTTTTTATAAGTAAGTCAAACTCCAAGGTCAAGGTCAAAATTTTTGGCAATCTAATTAAAATTAGATGTTAGATCCGCTCGCATACTCGCTACACCAACATCTAACAACATCCCACTGAGGGTCACATCAGAGGTCAAATTCTATCAACCAATCAAATCGTCGCCTGCAAAATCATCGTATATTGTTGAAGCGAAGTCTAGAGCTGTTCCGAGTTTGACCTCTGATGTGACCCTCTATGGGATGTTGTTAGATGTAAGTGTAGCGAGTATGCGAGCGGATCTAACATCTAGTTTTAATTAGATTGAATTTTTGGTATCCAAAGGGAGGTCTTGTCACAAGAAATATACTTGATAAATAAAAAAGCCCTAGTACTAAGTGGTCAAAAGTTATACCCAAGGATCAGGTTTGGTATTATTTTGCAAAGTAGTCAAAACTCCAAGGTCAAGAGATCAGATATGTTAGTAACTAAAGAAAGGTCTTGCCACAAGGAATACATATGTAAAATATGACTGCCAATAGCTCCAACCAATCAAAAAGGGCAAGGGTATAAAGCTTTTGCAGACAGATGGACAAACAGGGCATAAAACTATGTATCCCTGAATCTTGTGGATTATGGGGGCTTTGAATTTGAAAAGCAAAAAAAAAAATTAAAATTACACTGTTTTGGGGGGAGTTAAAAAAGAGTCTTGTCACAGTATACTCACTTATAGCTGCCCAGCCTGGTGCTGCAATAATCAACAGCATTAATCCAAGTTTATACATTGTGAGTTAATAAAGTATTATTATTAAAAAGTAGTGAACACAAATTAGTATGTATGTTAGCTTTCCAGTTTGATTTCTAATGTCATGAATCACAAGTATGTTTATTATATGTGATCGTTTTCTACATTTTTATTAGAAGTCCTATATTAATTGACTCTTTACCTGATGTTAATTAAAGTCTCAGTGAAAATTTTATTTAGCAATAAAATGTTGGAACTGATAAAATTCTCAAAATTTGCCTAGAGTGTAACATCTGCTATTTACATTTAAATACAGGTGCACTTCAGGGCAGTTGGCCAGTATTACCTTAATAAATAAAATACTTAATCATTACAAGCTCATCTGAACTTTTTTTCTCTTGACATAACATGAAAGCTCTTTTATTGCCTTTGGTTAAACAAATTTAAAAAAAACATTTCCCATTATTGACTCCAAACAAGTTGGGAAAGTTAAGCTACTTTGGAAAACACATCTTTGAGTGAGGTAAATTTCACTTTATAGGTAAGGAAGTCATCGTCTTTTTTATGGAATTTATTGAATGAAAATAGCTTTTCTTAAAACCTCAAGAACTAAAGGAAACACACAAACATTTCCATCATCTGGAAGAAAATCTTCTCTTATTATGGCCTTGAACTGGCCCCCAGGGGACATGGCTTTATTAATTTGAATTTGATTCTACAAAATATGTTGTGACCAACTTGTTGGTTCAAAGATTTTGTGAATCAACAAATCCTTATTTAACCTCTTTTCCCCTCTAAGTTTCCCTCAAGTGAAAGGGGTTTTGCCCTTTTACTCGGGAATGTTATTAGTACTTTTTACTATATAATGCTCATTGCTTTGCTTGGTAATATTTTGTGCACTGGTTCTCAGAAAGAAGTAAGCAAAATGTGAAATGTCATTAATGTTTAGAGAGCTATATCACAAACTAACCAGGATTAGTCAGAAAAGTTTATTATTTTGAGCTTCCAGCTCATGCAAAGAACTATATGCGGTATATTGCATATGTTTGCCCCCACAAAAGTCAAATTTTGAAAACTTCCTGAAATGTGCTAATAAATTGTATTATTATAGTTCCAGAGCAGTGTATTCACAATTTCTGTTTTTATGACGTCACAAACTAGCCCATATCCTTTTTCAGAAAGAGCAAAATTTCAACAATTCAAAAATTTATTCATGTGTGTTCAGGAAATATGTATTTCATTGATATTATCATTCTACACATTATATCAAAATATTTATCCTGCGCTCGGTGACTTTTATTTAAAATATCGACGAAATATGTACATTTTTCTGCAAAATTCATAAAAAACTGAAATTTACGTCATATTTGTGACGTCATTACGTACATATGACGCCATTACTTATGAAATTATTCAGTGCTTTGAAGTCAGCATATACTCCCCTGTTTAAGGACTTAATTAAATATTACTCCATCAAAGTTTGATTTTGGGGGGCAAATGTTGGTTAATACCGCATATAGTTCTTTGAAATTTCTTCATAAGGAAAATGCCCACTATTTGGTGGCTCCAAAGCTTAGACCATGCCAAAGATAAGTATAAATTACATGTATTCGATTCTTTGTAATTCTTGAGTGACTTCAGTGACTTATAAAATACAACAAAAATATGTATGCAAGTGCAAAAATTGTCTCCCTTGGAAACAGAACTGAAGAAAACTTCCAAAGTCATCTTTGACAAGGTTTTTGAAAATTAATCAAACTGTCCACAGATGTGAAATAAAAAAATAAACAGATTTGCTGACCTAAAAAGACCAATTTTAACTGAATAATGCTTGATCCTTCAGCTGAGGTGAATGAAAAAAGAAAGCCCAGATATAGTATTCCATTCATTTACTAAGATCAACATATATCATGTACATAAATGTAAAAATAATTACACAATGTATACTAATAAATAGCATATTATTATATTATATACATGAGCATAAATTATTCTATAAAAATAACTTTTTATACAACAATTCCAAGTTGTAACAATGTGCTTTTCTAACAAGGAAATATACATTCTAACAGTTTCATCAGTTTTGAAAACGAGTGAAACAGTAACATACTGTATGATTCTAAATGTTTATGATCACTTCTCATACTGTGACCTCCCAAATAAATATTTCTGAATGAGACACAGAAAACATGTGCTTTGAATCCTGGGAAAATTGTAGAAAATTTACAGAGTCACAATGGCCCAC